AATCTCCAATTGAGTGATATCTTCATCATCAATTTGTAAATTAACGGCTGCTTGTATGGGCCCACTCTTAGCTGTCAGATAACCAGAAGTTAAAACAGGTGATGAGTAAACTTCATGGTAAGAATCGAGCCATGCCTGGAATCCAATCTCTTGACCAGAAATCAAGAATATTACATCTTTAGCTAGATAACTTTTCTTGCTAAAATATTTAGCCATCGCCAACATCAAACCGATGCCAGGTAAAGTTTTCCCATTGAACTTTTTTGAAGATTGGTACGGGGATGATATTATCAGAGCTTCTGTATTTGGTGCTCTTGGAGCTTCAAGAATTGCATAAACAGATTTGCCATTAATTATCTAAAATGAAAATAAACAGATAATTAGATTAGCTGCTTAAGATTTCTAGAAAAGGAATCTAAAAAATTACCTTTTTATCATCAAAAGGATATTCAAAAGTGTAATTGTGTTCATATGAATGTAAACCGATTGAATTGAATTCATTGACGAGCCAATCAGACACAAATTCACCAGGTCTTGATTTTGTTACATCTTTTAGTCTGGTCAACACAGAGTTAAGATAAGGCTGAGCACTGAATTCCCGGTTCACATATCCAGGTAAAAGAGCATTTTCACTAAAATATGTTGGATCGACATATCCTTCTGACACCAAAGTAAAAGTAACGATAATTGCAGAGCAAATACATAAAAAGGAGATTTTATTACAATGATTGGTAAATAAGGTGAGAATTTGCTTATTTTCATCAAATAATAAGCCCATGATCAATCGACAATTGAAACAGTTTCAAAACACCAACTCAGTGTCACCGATGTCAGTAAACACCAACATCTGTTTGCTTGATGATCAACAAACCGAAGAAGCGCCAATTTTGAACTGTGTGAGTTTTCTTGAAAAAATCGGAAATTATCGCACCAAAAAATCATATTTACTCTCATAGATTCATCATTTTAATCGCATTCGATTATTCTAAAGATTTAAAAGAAAAAATGGAAAAATAATCATACAGGTTGTGAATTGATGGCTGCTTATCAGTCATTAATCAAGAGACTAATTAACAAAGTTGAGTTTCGATCAACAAATGAATCAATTTGATGAAGGAAAATTCCGATGATTAGTGAAAGTAATTTCTCAGAGATCATTGAAATGAAAAAACTGATTGTGATTCTAATTAAGATTATGATCAACAATCACCAAATATGGACATACTTGTAAATGATATTATATCGTAGTCAATAACGATTATCATTTTGCCTTGGTAACAATTAACCAAATGCGATTGATCAAAAGTAACTCTTACATTTTCATTCAACTCTCACGTTGAATTGACACAAGACCAACGATGCAAATGATTAATACCACAATCATCTTCATGATAAAAGATTATAATTATAAAGCAATTATCATGATCACAGTTAGTTAGTGAGTTTAGTTTCAAATCATTTGTCCATTTGAAAGGTTCAATCAATTCTTATTATTAATCTGTCAACGTAATTTCTTAGTTATCCTAATCTTAAGTTACCTTCCCAATTTATTGACTTAATCATTGTCGATATCGTTGCCCAATTGTCATTACAATTTCTTGTTTATTGATTGACTAACATAATCATTTGTTCACATTTTTTGTCAATTTAGTTAATGGAAACTAAAGTGAAACAGTTTTTCGACCAGGTAATTGTTTAGTTAATTGTTAATCTAATTGTTGTTTCTCAACAATTTCTACTTTCAATTACTTTTAATTAATTGACTAATGTTTGTTTCTTTTTCATATGATTTTATGCTTGTTTTTCCACAAATTGTTACAAAATCGAAAGGTTCAACTTCCAATTGTTCTTATTTGATATTCAAGATCTAAAGTTAACCATTCAATTAACTTTTCTAATTGTAGCAATTGTCTGATAACTTTTTCCACATTCTAAACACGATAATAAAGTAATACAGTAAAATACTTATGATTTAACAATCATAATTTGATTAAGCGTTTGAGTAATTAAGTGATTAGTGATTACAACTACATTTGTTTGGAAATTATCATTAGCAGAACTTTTGGCGATTTGATAAACGATAATTTCTGAGCTGATTCAACTACATTTTTCGTCGTTAAATGTTAAACAAGAAACGAATCAGTTTAATCTAGTTACTAATCGTCTTGAATGGAATCTTAGTTTAAATATCGAAACAAGGTCAAGTCTTTTTCGAAATTCAGAGCTTCACTTTTAGATATAATCAGCAGATGAAATTCTATTAATTAGTCAATTAGTCAGTTTAATTAGTTTGATATTTTCATATTCAATGAATAACTTGTTTGTACAATTAGATTGTCAACGCAAATTTTGATCAGTTCCTGAAAATGCTTAAATCTATCAGCCAACAATCTATTATGCAATTGTTTGATTAAATTGTCACGATAATTAGTCATCGATAGAGTTAGAATTTATTATCTTTCGATTGTAACTGAAAACGTCATAGATTGTAATCAATTGATTAAATTGATCCAATCAGTCGGACGATTATTTTCAACCACAAATCTGGTTTAATCTGCAATAACAGGAAAAGCTTATAACTGATGATGGAAACAATCAAGATAATTAAAAGATGCTAAAAACGATAATCACAATTAACATTAAACTGTTGTTTTCAATATGGTTCATTTCATTATCTAGGACAATTAGTGGCAGTTGACTCAATGATAATCAGATTTGATCAACATCTTTGTTGTTTGCTAATAATTGTTGATTGTCAAGTCAAATTATTATCATTATCATACTTATTCAATCAACTACAAATCTAATTAATATCATTAATCAATAATAAGATGATCATGATGGTTTTTTAAAGTAGATAGTCAACAATCAGTGGTGATAATATGCTTATAATCATGAAATGTGATCGATGGAATCAGTGATTAAGGTTAACAATTGCTTTCTATTAGTTTTGATTACGAATCTAATTGATAATAATCAAAGTGGGTTGTGAAATTATTGATAATTAATGTATTTGAAAGGATTGATTGTAATCTTTTTCAACTTGATCTTTGTTGGGAAGCAGATAATTTGTTAACTTTTATTCACAAGTTAATTGCTGAAAATGATTGATACAAGTTCATCTAAATTAATTGATTACCTTCAACAGAATCCAGTGGCTCGTTCATTTATCGTTGGCTCGTTTAGTTCAACATGTTCAACTTTATTGTTCCAACCTCTGGATTTATTAAAGACGCGAATGCAAAATGTTCAATATTTAACTGCCAATTCTCATGATTCAGGGTAAGTGATTTGCTTACTTAAATCATTCAATTTAAACTAATCATTGGACTTACAATTTTAGAGTTACAGTTAACAAAATAAAATTGATGACAACGTTTTCTGATGTGATTCGCAGTGAAAGTATAGTTGGTCTATGGAGAGGAACAGTTCCGGTAAATTCTAATCCACAAAGTGATTAACTGATTACTTTGTATCCTCATTGATTGATTTTTGACGAAAATTATCTTCTAAATTTAGTCGCTTCTTCGCTGTATTCCTGGTGTTGGACTTTATTTCGCTTCTCTCCACCAACTACAAACGTTAATTTGTACTACAGATGAAAAACCTTCGGCTGGTCAAGCGATGGTTATTGGACTTTCTGCTCGTTTATTAGCGGCATCAATTCTCATTCCAGTTACTGTGATTAAAACTCAATTCGAAAGTGGTCAATTTAGTAATAAAAGTATTCCAAGTGCCTTTCGATTGGTCTACAGTCAGCATGGACTTCGTGGACTTTATTCTGGAGCATTTCCAACAATATTGAGAGATGTTCCCTATTCAGGAATATATTACATGTTTTACAGTCAATTACGAAATTATGCTGCTAATTGTTGTTTAAATTCACGTAATCATCATGATAATCCACAGCCCAACCTCGAGACTTTCATCAATTTCACTTGTTCATTGGTCTCGGGCATCTTTGCATCGATAATAACTCATCCAGCTGATGTGATTAAAACCAGAATGCAACTTGATCCAAAAGGATTTCCTGGATTAAGTTCATCGGTAGCTATTATCTTTAGAGATAAAGGATCAATTGGTTTCTTTATTGGATTAACTCCACGATTAATGAGAAGAGCTGCCATGACTGCTTTCACTTGGACTATTTTTGAACATTGTATTCGTTCAATAGGAATCAAATGATTACTATCACAATATTTAGATTCGATTTACAATCTATTTCCTGTAATAATATTAATCAAAAAGCGTTTCAACTTAATCACCATTTATTTATTTGTTATCGTTTTCATTAAACTAAAATCAAAGTGCAGCAAAATTTTCAATCCGATTTGATTATCTTATTGTTTATTGAAAGGACAAATCTCTCTGAGCCATTTAAACTAATTGGAGTAATCAACTTACAATGAACATTTCGTTATCATTGACAATATGAAACATTGTAAATGTTGATGAAACTCACTAATTGAAGATAAATTCATATAAATGGAATAGTCAAAGTCTTTATCGATTTGCGTCCTCATTATTGATTCACGAATCCCAATCAATATTGCGACTGTAGATTAAATTATATGTTGGTCATGTTAAACTTGAAACAAGGATGAAGACACTTTCACAATTTATCACTGTTTTCATTTGCAAGGTAAATTCAATCAATAATTTCTGGTTAGTATTTTTCACTAAAATGGTTAATCCAATTTTCTGATTAGATAATGACAATCAAGGATCCGCCTCGAGTTGTTTTAACATTGAAGAGATAACCAGATGATTCGATTGATTGATAGAGACGACGAACAGTAATTAGCCGAAATCCTTTGGTAACTAGACTCCAACCAGAATCCAGAGCTAAATAGGAATAGAATCAATCGCAATCAAAGATTAGAATACTCACCAAACTGTTTAAATGTCGTCGAAAGAAATTCAACCAGAAATGTTCGCTGAAAGTCCAAGAGATGGCGCATTCATTTTCTCTGGTTTGTTGGTGTGTTGTGAGTTTTTCTGTCTTTCCAATTTGTCTAATTGTGTTTATTTATTTTCTTTCTTTTGTGGTTGAAGTTGAATTTAATCTCAGGTAAACTGTTTGTTTCCAAGGATTTATTTTAATCTCTGTTGAAAAATGTCCATTCGTTTAGTTTTCGTCTAGACTTTTTATCCGGTTGCTCAAAAGTCGCGAAAGAGTAAAAGAAAAGTGAAACCCCGTCAATATCAAGAAAGAATTGTTTTCAGATGCAATCTCAAATGAGAATATCTTCAGCTTCTTCGAGTGTGGCTGGAGGTGCCTCTGGCGCTCTCATGGTCGGGCCCAATTTCAAGGTGGGCAAAAAAATCGGTTCCGGTAATTTCGGTGAACTCAGATTAGGTAAGTTGGATTAAGGCCTAGAAGATGGAGTTTGGCCTTTTTGTGCTATCTGCTTATCTCTATCTCCCCTCTTCTCTCTTCTACTAAAACTGGTTGAATGGGAAGATGGTTGAACCACACATACAAGTGGAAAGAAAAAGAGAGCATCAAGAATAAGAAAGGAACCATTTACCTTGCCCATCACCGAAATCCTGTTAATGTTCCTCCTCGTTCTTTGTTTCACTTTATTCCGGCCTTTGACTTTTACTCTCTCACCTTTTCCTCTCCTTTCCTCCTACTCCATCCCCTTCTCTTTATATCTCTTTTTCCTCTCTTATCATCCACATTCTCTCTCTGTCTCTGTCTCTCTCTCTCTCTCTCTCTCTCTCTCTCTCTTGCTCTTGCTCTTGTTCTCCATACAACCACCTAATCATAATCTAGTTATTTATTTATACAACAACCGGTATATCAAATTTATGATCCTTAAGAAATAGATTAATCCAAATGAAATTGATTGTAGTCATGTCTCCAATCAATAGCGATTTTCTTTCGCAAAGAATAAACATTGTTGCTCTTTCTCCATTTAGGTAAAAATTTATACACTGGCGAACATGTGGCCATTAAATTGGAAGCTATGAAAACCAAAGCTCCTCAATTGCACTTGGAATACAGATTCTACAAACTTCTTGGCAACCATGGTGAGTATTTGTAGTAATACTCCCTCTCTCTTTCTCTGTGGCCTTGTTTGACTCACGAAAAACCCAAATCTCAATCATGTGTTTACCATTTGTGTGAGTGATTCATTGCCCATTCTAATAGCTTTTTGTCATTTCTTTCTCAGAGGGCATTCCAAAAATCTATTACTTTGGACCTTGTGGTAAGTTTAATGCCTTGGTTATGGAACTACTGGGTCCAAGTTTAGAAGATCTTTTCGATCTTTGCGAGCGTCGGTTTTCAGTAAAAACAGTCATCCAAATAGCTCTTCAATTGGTATGTGAATTTTTCTGTGATTTTTGATCATTCACCTTTGATGACTTTTCTATTTTCCTTTTTCTCATAGTTTAATAGAATAGAATATGTTCATTCCAAGCATCTCATCTACCGAGACGTGAAACCAGAAAACTTTCTCTTGGGAAGGCCAAACTCCAAGAAGACGGTAATTCATATGATCGACTTTGGTTTGGCCAAGGAATACATCGATCCGGAGACAAATAAACATATTCCTTACCGGGAACATAAAAGTTTAACCGGCACTGCCAGATACATGAGTATCAACACACATCTTGGCAAAGGTTAGAGATCCTCTTGAATCCGTAAATACTTAACAGGTTGTCTTTGATTGAACTCACCTGAGTAGCCATGCTTTTAGTCTTTTATATTGGAAACAATTTTTAATTTTCAAGCAGAGTGATTATGTATGTTACAACTGATTGAAAGGTTAAAATTCTGACACTTTGTAGAAATATGATTAAGTTTGACCTTGTTTCGACCAAGGATTCAGAAGTTTAATTCACTTCCTACCAAATTCTGACAAATTTTGTTTCTTTTCCAGAGCAAAGTCGTCGAGATGATTTGGAAGCTCTTGGTCACATGTTCATGTATTTCTTGCGAGGAAGTTTACCTTGGCAAGGATTAAAGGCCGATACTCTGAAAGAAAGATATCAAAAAATTGGTGATACGAAACGAGCAACACCGATTGAAATTCTATGTGAAGGATTTCCGGAAGAATTTGCTACATACTTACGTTATGTTCGTCGACTGGATTTCTTTGAAACTCCAGACTACGAATACCTGAAAAAATTATTCATCGATTTATTTCACCGAGAAGGATTTGCAGATGATGGAATATTTGATTGGCACTCAGTAAATCAAGTATGTGTTCAAAAATGAATTAATCTTTACATCTTACAGTCGAATCTAATTAACGATAACCTTGATACCAACTCATTTTCACCTTTTAGGTTTGTGTTGAGACTGATTCATTTAGAGTTCAGCCCAACCACTTGTTTCGTATTTTATACTTTTATTGTTTACTCTTTCGAGTTATCATGAAAGAATATCCTTCTATCAATTGTAAAAGATGTATAAAAATAAACACTAATCTCTTCGATCTGATATTAATTTTTTTCTTATTTTATTTTGATTCAATTGGTGACTCTCTCTGGATCCATTTGCGGAAATGTCTCTGAACTCAAAAGCAATGGGGTGATGGTGATAAAAGCATGGACTCTGATAGATTTAGACTAAATGAAAGAAGCGACAGAATTGGACAAAAGGACTTCACTAAAAACATAGGACCCATGAAAGAATACTTGACTCCAGCCGATAGACATGGCTCCGTACAAGTAGTTAGCTCAACTAATGGCGAATTAACCAATGATGATCCAACCACCGGTCATTCTAGATCCAAAGTTCAAGATCCCGCTGAAGTGGAAGTTGTGTCGGAAACAAAGTAATTTGACCTTTTCTCTTCATTCGGTGTATTAGAGTTTCTTTCATCTGATTCTTTTGGCTATCATTCAAATTGCTCAATCAATTCATATTAATTTTCCATTATTTCATTTCATCTCTTTTTAGATGCTGCTGTTTTTACAAAAAGAAGAAAAAAAAATCTTCTCGACCCAAAGATTAATTAATGGCACATTTCAGTTTCACCAATCCTGAGCTGAAATGAATCTGTTTTCATCAATCCCTCTCGGACTTCATATCTGCGTGACGACTTAAAGCTCTCTCTCCCCCTCTCTTTCTTTCTCTCTCTCTCTCTTTGTTTCTATTTCCACCTGTTATCTCCAATTTCATTTAAATTCTCTTTTGTCACTATCACTGTCGCTTTCACTGTCTCTCCAGTCCATAATCACATCATCTTCATTTTCTATTCTTACTTTCCCCTCTTATATCTAATTCTGATCCGAGAAATGAAAACAGGAACGGCAAAGGACCAAATATCTGCATCCTTCATTGTCCACTTAGATCGAGTGTCAACATGTAAATTTTGAAATCAAGTTCCAGAAGCAGAATACCTGTAACATCCTAACTTTAAATCAATTCAACGAAAGGCTTGGAATGATCTAAGCGAAGGTTAATCTACAACTTTGATAAACGCTTGAATATCTGGGCTATCATACCAGATAATATTTTAAATGGTCATGTTGATTGTTGATTGTACAATTTACTGGCCCTGGTATCAAGCACATTCATCGTTTTTTTCAATAAAATTTATCGTCACAGTAAATCAGCTGAGACTTTATCATGACCAAGATAACTTCGTTTACCTCATTACTTTGGATGGATTAACATTATATTGGCTCTCGTTCTGTGTACCAATTTGGATCATCGAAATGTTTGCTCGTATCAGAATTAGCTCATCGATTGACTTGATCATTTCTAATTGATTTAAGCGAAGCAAATTCGAACTCATCAATTTAGCTCAACCATCATGGAATCACAAGTTAAATAATGCTCATGGACGTTGAAATAACACTACAAACATTTGAGAGAGTTTAGATTTGAATCAATTGCATATTCCTGACAAAGAAATTAATCTTTTTCTAATTTAGTCTCATGGCTCTGATAAGACGCTCAATGGATCAGTTATTATATCATAAACCGTAATTTTTTTGATATTTGCAAAGCCTTTTATCGGATCTCAAATCAAATGGTTTATACATGTACCACAATTAATGGACTTGAAGTAAATGATTTCAGTTTTTGGTCAACGATTAATAATAGAATTGGATCAAGATTAATAAAGTTGTATCAAAATCTGTGATTAAAACAAAGCTAAAGTTTCCAATCATTTACTTTTTCCATTTTAGAAATTATTTCAATCCAATCAACAAGTGTCATGATTAATCAACAACAATTAGAGGTTAAAATTTGCCTTTGATTCAAGGTTGAGCTCAATAAGTTGATTGATCAACTATTTTCTTAATTGTTTGTTTCAATTATTCACAAATGCGTAGGTTTTCACTTATCATTTCTTTGAATCTTAACCCGAAAAACACCTGACGAAGTGATGAATGAAAAATATAATTACTATTGTAACTTTCTGATTACAAGCAATTAATTTCAGAATTAAATTTCGGAAAATTTAACTGATTTATCATTCCCTCGAGGCCTTTGATATCTTTGTCAATAAACTCGTAACTGGGTCATCAGGTAAATTGATGCAACTGAGTTGAAAATAATTGAAGTTATAAATCCAAGGTCGATTTAATTGTTTACCTGATTGTTAATAATTGAGAAATCTTAAGTTGAGATGCGATTTACTTTTGAAAAGTATCGATAATCAATTGGTAAGATTTATTTTTATCAGTTCCCAAAAATAAGATGATAGTTTTAGCTAATCAATTAAGATTAGCAATCAAACATCCAAAGATTATGTTGATTGTTACACTCAAACATTTAATCATAATCAAGATATTTCCAATTACTCGCTTACAATAATGAAACCACTTTCTCTCTATTTACATTTTAATGAGCATTTGATTGTTGAATTAAATTCGACTAATCAGAATTAAACGATCAATCAAATTGTTTATCTCTAAATATGCATGTTTGCTTTTCTCTTTCGTATCGAAATGTTATTTCTTATTCGTAATCAATTTTGATTCATATAATTAAAACTCTAATTTTTGTTGCTTTTCTCAATTATCATCTAGCTACGATTTTTCCTTAATAATGACAGAGAATAGTTCGGCAGATCAATTATTAGTATTAGAAATACATCGTAGTTGCATCAATAATTGATTTGATTTTAGATCGATAGATGAATCAATAGAGATTTAAAAGTGAGATCGTTTTGATATCTATTCAATTTGATTAGTTAAATTCGATTTCCACCCTCTCTCTCTCTCTCTCGATCCTCGATACAAATTAGTATTCACAAATTCTGCTTCAACCAATATTGCTTTTCTTTACGATGATTAGATAATCAATGATTAGTTTAATTTATGATGCCAATTAAGCAGATCACAATATACAATATGTAATCAATTACAATTGGCATTCCGGTTCTGCTATTAGTTAATCATCATCTTTATTATGATTATTAACCCAGAAAATGTATTTAAATAATAATTCAACACGATTGTTATAATAATCACGATCATCTTTTTGTTACCAAGTTGATCAACGTGTTTTCTTAATCATGATGATGACTGTATTCATTTGAATGTGAATCTTCATTAATAATCTTAATCAGTTTTTCCGCTCTGAAAACAATAAACACGGAAAATAATTAGCAAATTAAAATGTAATCAACCTGATATTGGAATTATAATGATAATATTGATATTGATCATTTCCCTTCCATTTTTACTAATTGCAATTGATCTTAATCAATTTATCTTCAACAATTAAGATCATCCCATAAGCAATCAATTGGATTGAGTTGATCTTCTTAATTGTTATGTGTTTTTCTAATTCGACATTAAAAGTTCAAGATTAAATCGCAAATGGATTATGATAGTGATTTGGATTAAGATAATTGAGAGAGAGAAGAAGGTAAATAGCAAGAGAAAAGACTCGATGAAAGGGAGAGAAAGAAAAAAGGGAGAGACCAGAAAGTTGGAACACTTTGTTTCTTTTACTCGGTTCATTCATTGATTCAGGTTCTTTCACAATCTTAATGTTGTTTCTTCTTTTGCCTTTTCATTTCTTCCATTAAATCTTCATCTTCATCTTCATCTTCATCTTCAGCTTATTCTTTTCTTATTCTCATCACCATCTTCTTCTTCTGATCAACAACTTGAACTACAAACCATTTTAATGAACAAAATCAACATTAAACTTTCGGGTTGAAGAATCGCCATTTTATTGGGATACAAAGTTTCGTCTCTTTAACTTTTCCATTTTCCGTCCTTGTGTTTCTCTTTAATTGTCAACTAATCCACTTCATCATCGGCTTAATAATCATCGTTAGTGTTTCATGTCATTTGTGTTTATCTTTGTAAATGGAAGCCAAATAAGAATGTGAGAGAAGAGAAAATCTTGTGTGCAATAGTAAATACTTAATCAATAACATATTAATAGATTATCAACTGTGATTGTTGTCATTTTCACCTCAACCAAGAGACAATTAGTTGTCAATTAGTAATCAATTTTATCTTCCAATTAACCGGATTGTTTGCTTTCTAATTGTAACAATTGTCTATTTTAATCCTTGTTTGTGACACCAGACCGAATTCACCTGAACCCTTTCACCTCAACTCATTCCGACTAATCAACAATCGCTCTGCTTTCCATTACTAACACAACTACCTGATAATCAGCCTTCACTGATCAATCATTTCATTTAATCCACTTTCGATTAAGGTAAGAGATTCAAGAAGAACCAGAAAAGTCCCCGTTTCTCTCAATACATTGTCTAAGATTGTATCTAATTTCTTATTCCTAACAAGTGTCCGTTGCGGCCTTTTATCAATCGGTCCGCCACAGAGACCACTTGTTACAACTACAATAGAACCCTAGAGATGGCGCTTCAACCGATAGTTAGATCATCAGTTGTAAAAGTTACTTTTCTTAATCAATAAGAAAAATTAACTTTACTTTAAGGGAGACATCTCACCTTTTTAGATCATCTTAAAACAATTATGTGTTGACTGTATTACATGATTGTATTAAAAAGTGTGGTTGGAATTTAATAAAATTCAAACATCAACACCTACTTAATTAAAGTTATTTACTCTACAACCTGTTTTAATTTCTTTACCTTTTCCTTAATAGTTTTGTCTCGATGACATCGTTAACACATTAACATCATAATCTCCCATCAACAACAGTTAAAGGTAAACAAAATTTGTGTTGTTTTAAATAGAAACTGAAAAAGACCGTCAAACTTGCTGGTGTGGTCAATTTTGTTGTTATCATTTCAACCATCACATGGATTCATTGTCATCAACTGACCTCTTCTCAATTCAATCTTCTTCTCTTGTTTAACAGAAAGTATCAAAATCCATCAGGAGAGCCTTAAATTACTGTGACAAAATGGTTTCTAGACCAAGTAACCAGGAAAACTATGTGGTTGAACATTTAGCCACATTCTCAACATCGATGACCTCACAACAACCGATAACACCCAAAGTGGCCATTCAGCGTTTGTTTGCTATGGAAAAGACCTCAGGGATATGGACTCAGCGAATGTTTGTTAAAATCGAAGGTAAATCCATTGAATCTTGTTTCATCCGTTGATTATTAACTGGATCTTCTCTTCTCTCGATCAGGTAGCCATATGTTAATTATTGATGTCGAATCAAATGATATCGTTGAGAGGTTTCCTGTTGCCTTCATCCAACAGCCAATCTCATTCAGCCATCGAGATCACATGTATGATAACATATTGATTTTCACTGTCCAACATCCGGAAGAAAGTCAAGGTAATCGTTTTCATGATATTCTTTAGATAATTTCTTGTTTTGTTCTCAATGTATGAATCATTTCTCTTCTCTTGTTTCTCATCAATTGATTGTCTCCTTTTTCCAATTGTCATACTCTTCATAACCCATTTTTAATTTCTCTTTTCTCTCCCTCACTCTCTTGTTACCAATCTCTTCATCTACCTTGATATACATTTTTCTCGTTAATTGTCTATTCATCTTGATTATTTCGTTATCGCTTCTCTTTCCAGGTGAACTTCATATTTTCCAGTGTGTCTCCCATTCTGCTCAACAAATAGCTGAAGACATTTCCAGTTGGATGAGGAAACACGGCAATCTCGCCATCACCGTGGACCATATTCACCACGAACCCAATCCCATTTCCGTCAATGTTCACGTTAAAGAAACAGTCAACGCATTCAACGCTCTTGCAGCTCAAAGAGAAAAGTGAGAGTCATCATTTATTTCCGGATTCTCTTGTTGTTTTCCGATCATCTCAACGATTTGTGATCGAATTGTGTGATCAGTGTAGTGCTTCGTCTTAATTTGTTTCCTTCTGTTCTTTTTAGGAAACCAGCCTCACCATCTATAAGCAGTTCCCCTCAAAGACGGACTCCACCATTAGGACCAGGACACAATTCTCGTGACCATGACTCTAGATCTGTAACCACGACAAGTTCAATTGATTCAAATCACAATGCAGCTCCGAGAACCAATTCTCATGACCAGGTATGTTTACCTGATCCTAATTATCGTAATTTGTGTTTATCAAAGATTCACTTGAAAGAAATATTTGTTTCTTTCTTCTTTCCTTTCGTCAATCTGTACATTCCTGAGCTACTGTTGCTTAAGTTGATCCCCTCCAGGGCAAATGAAGAAGAGAAAAAGAGAAACAAATTATCTTTACCTTCTCTCTCCTATCATCATCCTCTATCATCCAATCATCGTGCTATCCTCTTTTCTTCTCAGTTCAAGTTATATCGAAAAAGGAAAGAACAAGAAAGAAAAGAGAGAATCTATAATGAAAAAGATGAACATGTTGTCCTTAAAGAGAATATAAAAGATGTTTCAAAAGCCGGAAATGTTGAACATAAACTCATCTGGAATTTTGATTGATACTCTCCATCATTGCGAATTAGTTAATGATCAATCTAATTAACTACAATAGAGAAGCACAAATTCAAATGAAAGTGATTACCTTTATCTCCAATGATTAAAAAGAGAAAGCCTATCAAGTAGAACAATTTAATCCTCTTCGTGTCTACATAATTTTAATTATTTTCTTACCTCAATAATATTCACATTCGAAACGTTCCTTTTTCATTGTCATGATGATTATCACTTTAATTGAATTTTGTTTACTAATTACTGATTTTTAATATTGTTCAACTTTTCTATTCTATTCTTCAGTCTCTTTCAAACGAACGTTACGTTTCGATTCTGAACCATTGTTTCGACGATATCGAAAGATTCATCCAACGACTTCAACACGCTGCTGTAGCATTGAAGGAACTCCAACTTCGTAGTCACAAACGAGGAGGTTTGTATTCGATTCATTCAATTTGAATATCAACAATTGAGATGAAGAATAAGATTATGATAACTTGTGTTTATCTAAACAAAATCAATTATCTGTTAATAATCAATCAATTAATAAGAGTTTATCTTTATTTTTTGTTTACGTCTAATCAAATCTTTTCGTTCGCTTGAAATCTTTTTCATTATAATCATTAACTGTTATTGTAAAACGTTAAATGGTTTCGCTAATTGTTACTCGCAATCTATTAATGTAACATGTTTCCTCTTTCCCTTTTCCAGGTAAAGGTGCAGCTCATGGTGGTGATGGTTTACTTTCAATTAGAGCTCGAGGGCCAAGCGAAGTTGAGTTTTACGAGATTCTTGGAAAGTTCAAGTTAGCATTTAATTTATTGGCCAAATTGAAAGGTAACAATCCTTATTTGAGAGGCGAAAGAAAAAGTTGAATTTCTCTCTTGATTTGAGAAGAAAACGTTCCAACAATCTTGACCACTTATTCAATTAATGTTTGCTTATTTACTTTTAATCATCAGGTTTTATTCATGATCCTAATGCACCAGAACTGGTCCATTTCTTGTTTACACCTTTAGCAATAATAATTGAAGCTGCTCGCATGAATGGTATGTTGCCCTTTTAAATTAATTTGATGAATCATGATTGATTCATATTCTCTATCCCTGATTCACCCTGAAAACAGAATTGAAGGAATTAATTAACTCCCGGTTGCTTTTCATTTCCATCTCCTCGCTCTGCTATTCTAGGTCCAGTTCCCATTGATCCGGGAGCAGTGACAGTCCCATATTTAAGTGCCGATGCCATTGAATTATTATCTAATTGTTGCACCAGTAAGGAAACTGAACTATGGCAATCGCTTGGTCTTAATTGGACTCAACCTGTTAGACACCCGATCGGTCCATCTTCTCGTCTGGGTCAAGTGTATCAACCTGTTTTCTCCGATGGTTGGGCTCCGACTATAACGGAAAAAGATTTGATGGGCTTCCTCTCTTCCTCGGAGACATCTGAACATGAAGATGACGGTTTACCTTTAAGCAGGGAGACGCCCGTCAGAAGAGACCGATCTGACTATGGTCGTCACCATCCTCCGCACTTTGTTGATAGTGACATTGATGATCACTTAGAGCATCATATGGTTGCACCTCCACACAAAGGTATGCAAATTTCGTCTTGACTTTCACCTTGATTCCCATCTATTGTTTTCTTCGTGTTTATAATGACACTATTTATATTTCTCGCTTTTACCTTGAGCAGGTCCTCCTCCACCTCCATCAGGTATGCATCATGCACGACACCCACCACCTTCACCCATTGACTCAATTGAAAGAGACTCTCCAACGATGGGGCATCTCAGTGAATTGGAACAAACAACTTGGTTAAATGAATTGCAAGATAAAGGAGCCAAGATTGTTCAGGTTTTATTCCCAAGAACTGCCAATAATGAAAAGGAATTGACTGTTGAAAAGTATGATTGATCATTTATTATCTTTATTGTTTTGGTTTATAAGCAATAAAACAAAAGCTTTTACTTTCAAGTTCAAAAAGAGCTGAGCAATTGAAATGATTCCGCTACCAACCCAATTAAACCCAAGAAAACAATTTACTTGTTTAGGTGATATAACATGAATGCCCACTTATTTTTGATTAAGTTGGCGTTTTTTTCCTGATTTAACGGGATCACAAAGCTCATCAAAAGAACTCGAGATTGCCCAGCCCTTGAAGCCTTGAAAAGAAAACAATTGACTCATAATATTGATTCATCTTTTTCCATTTTCTCTCGTTCTGTTGTCGCTTTTCAGAGGTGAAATTTTAGAAATATTAGATTCATCACGAAACTGGTGGAAAGCTCGCAATTCTCGTGGACAAATCGCTCATGTTCCCAATACAATCGTTGAACCAATTTCAAGTAACTACCAATTCAACCGAAGTGAAAGAGGAAGCCGTTTAACAAGAGGATCTCCTGATGAAGATTGGATCCGTAAAGAGAGACAAGGTAAAAAAGGCGAGTTTCGATATTTTTAAGGCGCCTTCATCCATCGAATTGATGTTGAGTTGATTATTTCTATTTAAACTTCATCATCAATGAAAACACACACACATCATGAAGATGATAAAAGAAAGGGGAGATTAGTTTATCACGTTCATTATTTTACCTTTTTTACTTAAACTCAACAAGCAAACAAAAAATCAAGGAACCAATTTTTTCTTAAATTGTCTTAACCTTATCATTTATCCCTTTTATCCGATGTTTTTTTTTTGATTTGACCAAAATGTGAAATGTAATTTCAAGTGTATAGCACAATTTTTATGTTATTCTCATCATCATCATCACAATCATCCTTCATCTCCTACTCTCCCTCTCCTCCTAATCAAAGTCCTGATTTGGGTTACTACCTGATTTCTTTGTCTTACTTAATCTGTTTACCTACATTGATCCTTGATCGTCTTTTAATCCCATTCATGTTTCCCCATGTAAAATGTACCTCAAGTGTAAACACAAAGACACAGCGAGCGTGAGAGTGAGAGAGAACAACTCCCGTTTTGGATTACAGACATTAATCATATCATAATCATCTATCAGAAAATTACTCCATTTAAATGAGTGATTTAATTGTAACCAAAACACAATCAACATCGCAAAGCAACTCCAAGCAATATATCAACAATTAGCAATCCAATTTATCTAATATTTTTGGATATATTGTCATCATCATATCTTAATTGTTTCATTTTGATTTTTAGAACTTTTTGTTTATTTTCAACTTTTGATTAAATTATAGTTGATTCTGTTCTCATTGGAACAATTATTATCACAACTACTTGTCCTTTCTCTTAATCTAATCCATCAAAATCAAGATGATTAAATAACCCGATTTAGTCTTGACTTTAAGTTGATTGATGTTTCTGTTATTTTGATTGTCCAGGATTGTGATTGTCAAGGACACACTTTTTGATTTACCTCAATACAAACTAATCTCCTTTCAGATGAATAAGAAAACTCAATTTGAAATGAAGAGTGACAATTAATGAATCAATTAGAATCTCCAAATGAGATCAATTGTTTCGAATCAACCAAAGTGCAAAGTTATTCTTAATCTGTTTCCAGTTCTGTGTCTTGATCACCTTGTTAACTGTCAACAATAAACAATAGACTTGGAGAGTGTAACATCTCATTTTGTTTTCTTGTGTTAATTTTGTGTGTTAATCAACAACAATTAGCCCTCAATTCACCTGAATAATAAGCAACACAATTCCTTCAATCTCCTTATCCTTTATCATTTGATTCAATTGGTTGAAAGTTAATTGTTTTCCTTTCGTTTTAATCTTTTGGTTCTTCCTATTGTCGTTTTTTGATTTGCTTCGCCATCTCTTAATCATTATTAAATTGCCAAATCAATTGGACAATTACAATTCCTTGATCAGGGTGATTGTTTATCGAGACAATCAAGTGATTGATCAATTTGATTAGTTCGAGAAGGCAACGAAACTCTTACAGCTACAAGATTATTGAAAACAATAATTAGTTGATTCAATTAATTAAAAATTTAAATTACCACAATTATTGTTATTATATTTTTAGATTTGTCTGGTGCTTCTTATCAAGGAAATTCGTCTCGTAACTCGTCTCGACATCGCATTCTACCAAGATGAGTTGATTAATTGTTACAATTACAATCAAATGATCAACACAAACTTTTCCTAAAGGACCTGATTCTATATTTATACAATCTCGAAGCAAAACAATACTTGATATTATCATTCTCTGATCAGTTCTTACGATTCTTTAACTTTCCATCTTCAATTTGTCCGTTCAAATCGCGATTTATTAATAATCGATAATTAAAAGTTGATTGGTGCAAATTTTATAAAATAATTAAAGGGCTCAAATTGTATCCATTTCAATAATCAAATTTCACTTAAAATAGCCAATTCTCAATATTTACCATCTTCCATCAATAAAGTATATTAATTGTTAATTATGCAAATTAGTTTCTTATTTGAACATAAATTGAATTGTTAATCTGCAACAATACTAATTGAGTGGAAAAGTTGGATTTAATTTGTTTTAGTGCAAAGGAACAAGATAAAAAAGGATCAAAATTATTCTGGACAATTTAAAAGAAAACTGAACATTCAGTTTAATTTGGACGCACAATCTAATTAGATTGTACAATAGGCACACGATCACGATTCGATCAAAGCAAATAAATGAAATCGATTGATTGATTGGCTCTTTCATTGAATATTCCAGTTTTTCGAACCAAATAAGAGACGACACATAAAAAAGACTCGAGAATTATTCCCATTCCTTGACCAGTTCAAAGGTCCATTCCCATTTCAAGTGTTCGTGTTTATCGTCATCGGTGAACAAAGATTTGACGTCATACTTTCCACGACAAATGAGACCTGAGGGCATCTCTTCCGGAGGCGTCGTGTAAGATTGGATTTCGGTTTTGGGAGCATAACTACCAACCATTTGTGATATTTTCTCAACTAAAACGCCCAATCTGTTGATTTTTTGCACATATTTTAGTCCAGTCACAATTTCTCTTTGAACAATGAAATCGATTCTTATTTTGTACTGGATTCCTTCCTTGATCTTGTAAACACGCTTCTTGAGTTCAGCGAGATTTCCTGAAAGGGTTAGTCAATAGATGAGAGATAAATGATATTAGCAAAGAGCTGAAGGCGACCATCGGTAGGAACATTACCTGTAAGGTCTAGATAAAGGTCTGGTCGACCTTCGGTTAACAAGGCCAATCCTTTGACAATCACTCGATTGGGATTAGATGGATCAACGACCGGGGCACTAACAGCAGCATCTCCCAACAAGGCTTCTTTGTACCGAGTTAGGCTTTCATCGTTTTTGTCGGTTTCCAAAATCTCGGTTAAACTTTTCTCTGGTGGAGCTTTGTAGTCGATGTTTTCTCCTTCTTCAAAGTCTCCTTCACCTGTGGGCTTATGTTCACTCATTTTAAAAGCACTTGGAAAAAGAACAAATCAAAAGAAAAACAATTAGACAAAAAAGAAATAAAAACACAAAAAACCAAAGAGAAACTTTGACTTGAAGACTCACTGACTCGCCCTATTTGGATTCGAGTCATAAAAGGATCCAAACGAATATCGATCCGATATTTGATTCTGTTTGCTTTCGGTTGATTCAATCAATGAAATTGTTTCGCTACAATTTACACACCATGTTAGAGATAAAAACCACATTTATTTTCAACCAACGCCCAACAAATTATCTCATCACTTTTACTTTTCTCTCGAAAGAAAAAGTTATCACCTGTTGCTCTTCATGTGAATGAGGACAATAAACTAAACGACCGAAGATCAACGATATTCCTGTGACCGCAAAGTTCTGATATCAATTCTTTCAATTTGATCTTTGATCGAGAAGCAAATTTGTCGCTGATTCTGTGAAAGGAAGGAAAAGGTTGAAAAGAGGAAGGAAAACGAAGAGAAAGGAAAATGACTGAGTAGTGATGATGTAAATTCTCATGAGAAGAGTAAACTTTACATCTTCTCATCGCTACTCAAACTTTCTTGCAATTGTATCTTACATTTAATTTGCAATTTACAGCGAAAGTGAATCACACATCGCTTTGTGTCGCTTTTCACTCGAAATGTATGATTAATTGTCTTGAAATGAACTTTGTTGAAATTCAAATATTCAACCATTTAGATTAACTCAATTTCTGTGCGGCAATTCTCCGATCGATTAAAGCAGTCAATTAGCCAAAATTCGAAACACCGCAAATTTTGCTCTGAGTGATAACTACTTTTGATTATTTGTCCACAAATCATCTAAATTAATGTTAATCGCTCAATCAATTTGAAAGAAAGGGGGTGGAGTTTGTCCGCCAATGTGCAGACTTACAAATGAGTATCATGGTTACAAATTCGAATGAAAGAAGAAAGACAGAGGATAGAAAGAAAAGAAAGGAAAGAAAAAGCTCTTTGTAACATTAGAGCTAATCACAAATTCATCAGTCAAGAAGAGGCGAACCTACCACTTTGGGTCTAAGCCACAGTTCTCTTGACCATTCGGCCATAATGACCGACGGACATAATCAAAATAATTAAATGGACGAAGTATTTTAAATTAGACTCACTAGATGGCGGTGAGGTGAGAATGTTGAATGTGAACAAGTTTTTCAATCAAATTGATTGAATCAATTTTCAAAATTAATTTTTCTCAATATTATCCATCAAAATGTTGTTGATTGTGTTGAAATTTTCAATCATTTATTTATTTGCTATTTGTGTTATTTGGATTTTCAAGAAACACAGAAAGTTTCAGTCATTTAAAAGGAGAAACATTAATGGTAAGTTTTCACAAAACAGCTGATTTTAAGATTTACAGCAGATTTTTGATTCTAAAATTCATTAATGATTGACATTTATTCCAATGCAATCATAGAAATCCTTGAGATTCTCATGTTTCAGTTGACTTGAAAAGATGATAGCGATACTTTAACAAGTTGCCAAGGTGTAAATATACTCATCAAGTTATTTCTCAAGTAATTATTAAAAACCAATCCAATCAAAGAAGCAAAAAAGCAAAAAAGAGCTAAACGACAAAAACACTTCTCAGATTCAATTCTTTTTACTTTATATTTAGTTTTTACGATTTACAGATGAACTCAGGTCAGTAAATGTGGTCAAATTATCGATAAAAAATAAATTTTCAGTTGAAATGGGATAAAAAAATATCCATTAATTGACGTTCAAACTTCGCGCATCAAAAATCAGAAAAATTAAATTATCTTGAAATTTCGGTGATTATTGTTTCGTTTAAGTTTTATTATTCTGAATATTTCGCCAAAAATTCAGAATAAAACGACTTGAGGCCATTTCACTTCGTGTTTAATTAACCGTGGTGAATTTTGGCCTTTTTTTTCTTTTTTGCTTCTTTTCGTCTTTTTGTCTCACGGTACTCAGACTCGGTTCTGTACCACGGTCACAACTAAAGTTTTGATTTTCCAATATTCTTGATTCAAATCAGTTTCCTTTATTGTAAATTTCCACTCACATTTCACGTATATATTTTTAGTATTATTCCATTGCAATTTATTTATTGTTACTTTCAATGAGTACTTGATATATTTTTTCCATGTTTGGAACAATAAAATAAGATCAAGTGTTTAGCTGCGTAAAGTGAGATCTGATCTGTGATTGGTTAATCCATTAATCTTACTAATAAATTTCACCAACAGGTCCGAGGCCTAATCTCTTTTTTGGTAATCATTTCGCTCTAAAAAACTCATCTGACAAGAAATTACCTCATGAAGTTATGGGAGAATGGATTGAGAAGTATGGAGACATTTTCGGCTACTATTCACCGAATCGATGTCGACTTGTCGTGAACGATGCTCATCTATTGAGAAAGATCTCCGTGCACAAGGCGTTTCAAGATAGAGAATCTTTGGTTATTGATATTGTCCCTCTCAGAGATTCTTTGTTCGGAACTGGTGGAGAAACATGGAGACGGTCAAGGAAAACAATATCACCTTTATTGAGTCGTTTTCGAGTTGATTCCCCTCCTTTGACATCGATCATTTCCCAATGTGTTGAAAGTTATCTTGAACATCTCAGGCCAAAAAATGTAGACGAAGGTGCACCGTTCATTGTCGATATTGTTGACAACATTCATCGATTCACTTTCGATATAATTTGTCGCACATCTCTTGGAATGGAATCTAATTGCTATTCGGAAAATGATCAATTAGTAAAGTCCGTTGTCGAATTTTTCGACAATGCTTTTAACAATGCGGTTCTTCTGTCCGAAGCTTTTCCTCTTTTCTCACACTTATTAAAGTTTATCAATAATTATCTGACTTCTGGAAAAATGACCAATTCAATTGTTGCTAATCTGAAAAACCAAATCAGATATTTCATCGAATTTAAATCAGCACAATCGGTCGATGATGAGCCGGGAAAACCCGTTTTCTTGGAATCCATGTTGAAATTTCTCGTTGATGGTAAATTGAGTCAACAAGAATTAATCGGTAAGCAACCTGAAGATTATTATCTTGACTGATTATCGTGACTTTAAGCCACTTTGGTTAAGATTTCCATCAATAAATTGTTGTTAATTGTTCACAAAATTAACTCATTAACTGAGCAGAAACGACATGATTAAGTGAATATTGATGAACATCTAATTGCCTGTTTTCTTGTTTCCATTTGACCATTTAAATCACAATTTATTCAATTATAATCCTATATTATAAATGCCTTTATATTTGACTAAATTGTTCCATTCATCAAAATCAAGTTAATTTAAACTAAATGTTGACTATTGATTAGGTTCAATACGAAGCGAAATAATTTCATGGTACAACTATTTATGGTTCGTCTCTTGTTACGATCATACATCAAGAATAGATTAGAGAGAAAAGGAGAAAGTAACTAAAAGGGAAATGTTTGAAGGTGATTAAGATGAGGATGTGGATGTGGAAGAGAAAGAAGATAAGGATGATAAGTTTACCGTTGACATTGTTACGAACTGTGTAATTATAAGCGAACCTTTTCTTTCTTAAAATTGAATAATAATAACACGAGATTGACAATTAATCTCTAACCAGAGATTTGAGATTCTTTGAAGAAATGAAAAGGATTTAAGCCTGAAAAAGCTAAAAATAAGATTTATGTCCAAAATTAGATAATCTCTTTCAATCTCTTTTCTCTTTTCTATTTTCTCACTTTCTTCATCTTTTCCTTTTCCTTTTCCCTTGTTTCATGTGCATCAATAACTTGGTTAACTAATATTTTCCTCTTCTCTTTGCAACATCTTGAGCTTTCACGGTTTCTGGATCAGAGGCTATGGAATGGCCATTAAATTGCAGTAACATGAAAAAGCTTATGGGAGAATCTGAATTAGATGATGTTGGTCATATTGAACAGTTACAATAATTATATAGCTTTTTATGAGTTGTTGCTCTTTTTTCATTCTCATCCAATGTAATACATTTTCTCGTAAAATTGGCATCAAACATTCAATCGCTTCTTTCACATTCTATTCTTTCTCATTTCGCCATTATTTCTCTTTCTCTTTCTCTTCTTCCTTTTCCTCAATCTCATCAGCATCGTCATGTTGTTTTTCATTTCCATCCTGCTGTTACCATCAGAATAACTGAATGAGCATAATCTTTTTGTCTTCTTCTTCCTCTTATCACTTCTCCATCAATTTGTAATACATGTATGTTGATTCTTCATATTTTCTTCGTTATCCATTTTTACCCATTCAAAGTTCATCTGATCAAAAACACTGAGGTAAACTTATAGTTGGAATACTCAGTGAATTATTGCTGATGCATAATATTTATTCTTGTGTTGACCAATTGACCAACCCAATTTTTATTATGTACATGATGAATTGAGGCTTATTCTTTGCTTCATTCCTTTATATTTCTCATTATTTGGTATGATATCTACTCCATTTCTAGTTATCCAATTGATTGGGAATTTCTCCTGATGTTGGATATTCATGTTGACAGTATTCTTAATTGCTTTTTCAATGATTCGAGGAAAAATTAATTTAACCTGTTGATTGAATTGTAATTAAAACTAGTTATCTTTTTTAGGTAACATTTATCTCATTGTTTTGGCGGGATTCGAAGCTACTGCGAATGCTTTGATTTTTTGTCTTTATTCAATCGCTGAACATCAACATGTCCAGGATAAAATGAGAGAAAGTTTAACAGAATTGGTGGAAGAAGAATCTTATACAGAAATGGTAATTTGCTTCTACTGTCTAAATGATCATTCCAATTATTAATATAATAATATTATAATATTTTCTTAATACAATGAATTGAAGGTTTGGCTTGAAACACTTCGTTGCTACCCACCTCCTTTGTTCATCATTAATCGTGAAGCATCAGAAGAAGTAAACATCGATGGATTGACGATTGAAAAGGGCTGGATTGTCGAAGCTCCTATTTGGCAGATACACCATTCAGAGAGATATTGGCCAGACCCATGGACATTTGACCCTGAGAGATTCAGTTCAAGTAACAGGTAACGAACCAACATACACTTCATAAGCGAAATAGCATATTAACACAACTATTATCATGAAA